AAAAAGAGCATGAGCTCCAGCCTTTGTTAGCAGGACAACAGGAAACATGAGACAACTTTCAGAGACAGTAACCAACTGTGGCCACAAGATGGCAGCAGCTGATCTGAGATCCTTTATTGGACAGGTTGCAACCCGTTCTGTCTCCCTTTGTTCATTGTTGCTTCGTCTGTGTTCCCACCCCCATGTCCTCATAGTCACAGAGTCATAGTGTGTGTCATAGTGCCCTCATATTATCACAGTATGTCATAGTTGTTCATAGGTTTCTTAGCTCTCCTGTCACCAGCCAAATAAAGGCTCGCTTTTGGTTTCAAGTTCCATCTCTCTGCCTATGTCTGTTCGTGGGTCGTCTACATACACTCCACAAGCGAGACAGGAGAGGAACCTGATAACAGCTGAACGTTCTTTTGTTCACACGGAAAATAGGTGTGAAAGGCAAAATTATAAATTGTTTCTAAAAATAATTAAATAAAGCTGTTTTATTAAATTAATATATACATAATGCAAATGTGCTCATAAATGAGTTGACTCTGTGTTTTCAGAGTTAACAGATTCATTCAGCGATATTGTCTGGATCTGAAATATTGCAGGTACACGCAGAGTGCAGAGGATTTTTACACATACACTGATAATTGTTTTCTATAAGTCTCTGGGTCAGGAAGTCCAAACATGATGTCCTGAACTGGGCCTTAGAATACGATGAAGGATAACATTAGATAATCAAGGCAGGATGTGTTTTTGTGTCCATGTGTTTCTGATTCCAGGAGGAGCAGATACCAGGTGAGGTCGGATGTGGACGGGGAGGATTCGCAGCAGACTGCCACGTTGGATTTGGGAGAAGATAATAATATTTTGTCATTGTCAAAGTATAAAAGCTGTACAGCCCATTTCAGGGTTAGGGTTTGGGTCAAAGTGAAACTAGAAATATTTAGAATAACAATGAGTTCACAGCGTGAGGAGGTCTGATGTTCCAACAGTGTTCAGGATGAGAATTATTACCTGCAACGCTCCAGTTTGACCTCATGGTGGCAGTGCCGTCTCACTGTTATAATGGCTACACTCAGACTACAGGAGAGAACAAGAGGCTGTACTAAAACTCTGATGTTTTATCGCGTGTTTATGACATCATGCTGACGTCAGCCTGATAATACCTGTTGATTCAACTTAACAGCCAAGGTTTCCAAGGTTCTTAAATGAACCACAAACTACAGGGTAAGAGTGAGCTGCTGAAAGTCAGATCTGTTCTTCAAAGCAGACTTTCAGCTTTATTACAAACTAAGAGTCGGATCAGCACAAATACTGACACAGAGATGGCTGCTGGCACTGCGCTGCTCTGCTGCACTTTGCTGTTTGTCCTTGTCTTCGTCTCTGCAGGTGAGATTGAACTAAACTGAGTTTCTCTCTGAGATAACAAGAAGTACAGGAGGATTATTTTCATCTGGATTCAGTTTGTCTGTGTGTGAAGGAGACACGAGGCTGGGTGGACACTTAACATCTGTAATCCAGCTGTGACAGAGACAAAGAAGTGTAATGTGTGTGTCAGTGTGATGTGTTGTAGTGTCAGGAGTCAGGATGCAGCTACAAAGCTTTTTGTTCAGTGTACACAAACAGCTGTAGCTCCATAAAGGCAGCATGCAGAGACTCACAGTGTCTTATAATGAGAGGCTGCTTTCTCTCACACATTATGTTCACTTATTATCAGCACATGTTGTTGTTCTGTGGAAGCTAACATCTTGTAGTTTCTGACACTTTGCATGTTTAGCATGAGGCTAAAATTCCCCCTCAGTGGGTCACTGGTGACCTGGTGGATGTTCAGAGGTTCATTAAATCCAACATGACTAAAAACTCAATGTCAAGGTGTTGTTTCCTCTTTCAGACCAGAAAACCATCACAGCTGAGTCTGGACAGGACGTCACTCTGACATGTCGAGCTCCAAACAACAACATTAGAGTAATAAAGTGGGAGAGATTTGACCTGGGAGATGATTATGTGCTTTTGTACCAGGATGGTCTCTCTGATTCAACACACCAGCATCCATCTTTTAAGAACCGGGTGGATCTGCAGGACAGACAGATGAAGGATGGAGACGTGTCTTTGATTCTGAAGGATGTGACGATTAATGATGCTGAAACATACGAGTGTCGTTTCTTCATGGAAGAAACTCGCTCATGGAAGTCCATCAGTAGCCTCAACCTGATTGTTACAGGTGAGTAGAGTTGAGTGTGTGTGTGATCAGAGGTGAAGCTGCTTCCTGGTTGTTGATGTTTGTTGTATGGATGAGCTGGTGGATGTCAGAGGTAGACAGATGTTTCTCCAGCTGTTGTCTTTGTGGCTGGTAGTCTAGAGTTGTAGAGCAGCATTGTTTGGTTAGAGCAGAAACAAAGACATTTATGAATCCGTCTCTTCTTCTCTTGCTCTCTAACTCGTCTGTAAACATGTGTGGGGAAACTCAATGTTAAAGCCTACAGCTGGAGGGGGAGGGGAGGGGTGAAGCTGGTGGTTGTGAGTCTGTGAAAGTGAATCACAGTCAACTACAGCCCCTTAAATTGCCTTATTACTCGATGCTGAGAAAGCATTTGAACGGGTGGAGTGGGATTATCTGTTTTATACTCTAAATAAATTTGGATTTGGCCCTAATTTCATTTCATGGATTAGTTACTTGACTCCTCACCTATGGCACGTGTTAGAACAAATTGTTATTCTCTTCTTATTTCCCACTTCTCCGTGGTACGAGACAAGGATTGTCCCTTATCCCCTCTTCTTTTTGCATTATCAATTGAACCATTGGCGATTAAACTGCGAGCTGACAGTTGCATTAAGGGCATCTTCAGAGCTGACCAGGAGCACAAAATATCCTTATATGCTGACGATCTCCTGCTGTATATGTCAGAGCCTTTATAACACTGAATAAGCATATCCCTGCATTTATTTGGAACGGCAAAAGTCCATGAATTCGTAAAGATTTCATGCATAGGACTAGGCCAATGGGTGGATTAGCCTTGCCAATGTTTCAGTCTTATTATTGGGCAGCAAATATTCGAAATATGCTGGATCAGTAATTTTACCACAGAGACTCCAGCTTGGCTCCAAATTGACTCATCCAATTGTGGCAAAATGTGCCTATCAGCTTTGTTGAGTTCAGCTCTCCCATTAGAACTGTACACCTATAAATGTAACCCTTTGTTGTATGACTCAAAAACACTTTTAATATTGTTGGCCCTTTTATTCTGAAATTGATTAATACGTCCCTTGCTACAGGCTGCGTCCCACTATGCTTCAAACAAGCTGTAGTTCAGCCTCTTCTTAAAAAACAAAACCTGGACCCAACTGTTCTGTCTAATTACAGGCCCATCTCAAAGCTCCCTTTTCTATCTAAAGTTTTGGAGAAAGTGGTCTATCTACAGTTGCAGGCACACCTCGATTCTAATATGATCTCAGAAAAATTTCAATCTGGTTTTAAATCATTACATAGCACTGAGACAGCACTTTTAAGGATTTTTAACGATATTCTCTTAACTATGGACTCTGGCAGCCCTGCTGCCCTTTTATTGTTGGACTTGTCAGCAGCTTTTGACACGGTTGATCACGACATCCTGTTATCACGGCTAGAATCGCATGCTGGCCTAAAAGGATCTGCCCTTCAGTGGTTTCGCTCCTACTTGACAGAAAGGTTCTTTTATGTCAATATGGGCCCCCACAACTCCAAATTAGCTCCTCTTAAATACGGCGTTCCTCAAGGCTCTATTTTGGGTCCCGCCCTCTTCGCACTCTATTTGTTGCCATTGGGCTCCATCTTCTCGCGGTACAGCATTTCATTTCATTGCTTTGCGGATGATCTACAGATTTATCTACCTTTAAAATCAGGATCAGATCAACCGCAGCTCTTATTACGCTGCCTTGACGACGTTAAACAGTGGTTATCATTAAATTTTTTACAGCTAAATGAAAACAAAACTGAGGTTGTCATTTTTGGCAATTTCAATCATATTGACAGCACGTTGGGTACCCTCTCCTCGTATTGTAAAACACATGTAAAAAACCTCGGAGTTTACATTGATGGTTCTTTTAAATTGAATAAGCAGGTGAGTGCAGTAGTTCAGTCCTGTTTTTTTCAGCTAAGACAGCTAGCCAGGATAAAGCCATACCTTCCGGCTGACGTCTTCGAGCGTATCATCCACCTTTTTCTTACTTGCAGATTGGACTACTGCAATTCATTGTATTATGGCCTAGATCATGCCACCATCCATCGCCTTCAGATGATTCAAAATGCTGCTGCTCGCCTGCTAACCGGTACCAAACGGAGAGAGCATATAACCCCAATTTTAGCCTCTTTACACTGGCTCCCTGTCCCCTACAGGATCCAATTTAAACTCTTACTTTTTGTTTTTAAGTCACTCAACGCCCGAGCCCCCCCCTACTTGTCAGAGCTCCTCTCTGCCTATGCTCCAGGAAAACCCACGAGATCTAGTTCAAAACTACTGTTGTCCATTCCACGGACTAACCTCAAATCTCGTGGTGATAGATCCTTCTCTGTGGCAGGTCCCAAACTTTGGAATAGTCTCCCCTTTAATATTAGATCTGCTCAAACTCTTGAGCAATTTAAATCTTTACTCAAGACACACTTTTATGCTCTGGCTTTTAACACATTATGACCCAAGCATTTTGGATTTATCTAAATTAATTAGTATTGTTTCAATTCCTTTATTTTATTGTTTCTATTGTTATTATTGTATTACATTGTTGTTTTTAATTTTATTGTTATTGTTAAGCACTTTGTGCAGCATAGGCTGTTGGAAATGTGCTATATAAATAATTTGACCTTGACCTTGACTCGCTCAGAATCTGGGTGCAATGTAAGGTTTGGGTTACACTTAATGTCAATTAAAGCACCTATCAGCTCAAATCATATGTTCCCACCCTCCATGATGGATTCTGGATTTTCAATGGACTTTCTGTCATTTTTGTTTTGTTTTGTTGGTGTTAAAACGATGCCACCTTAAAATGAAACGGAAAAATAAATATTGACATTAAGACAAGAAAAAGTTTTCACACTTACATCTTTTTTTTTCTTTTTTGCTTACAGTTTTTTTTTTCAGTTTCAGTTTGCTGGCACTGTTTTGGCGTCTGGGGGCACGATTGTTAATAACAAACACACAAATATTACATCTTTTGAATCTGTGATGACATGTGACAATATGATGAAGTTCACATGATGTAGCTTCTCTGCCAACAACACAAATGAAAGAATAAATAATTTAAACCAAAGTAATGAGCGACTGAGTTTATTGTTCAAATACAGAGACACTCTCACACTGACCTTTGTTGTTTGTTCTCTGTCCTTCATACAAACATTTGGTGCTTACACACTCTGTGAACACTGCGTTTAAAAAGTGTAGCTACTCGTGTTTGACCTTGTATGTATGTGTGTTTATGCTGTGGTTGTATTTTCCTGCTGCTCACACAGCAGAAAAGCCTGAAAACTCAATAACTGATCACTGATGTGAAGTCAGCGAGTACCGAGGTGAACTTTTCTTATCTTTGAGATCTATTGAAACAACTACAGTAAATCGTACTGCTGAGTGACAACAATAGCGTCATCTAAGGTTAGAGGGTTACCTAGGCAACCAGGGATGTGCATAACCATCTGTCAGCTACAAACTGATGCATGAACGATGGGATGAGTTCATACTTGGATGTAATTTTAGTGAAACAGCTGATCGAGGATTAGTGTTGTTGAGGTTTTGTGGTCCACAGCTCACACTCACATAATGAGGTCATATTTGATCTTATAAACAAAAACACTGATCCCAGGTCTGTAACACTGTTCATGGACACTGAGGGTAAACAACCCACACAGCTCACAAAGATAAAGAGAAAACTGAAATCAGATCTTGATGATTGAAAGATTCAGGTGTGAAAAACTTCATAAATATGTAATCTGAGCTCAAAATGATGTAACTACAGTCAGTGGAAACAAAACCATCAAAGTGAAAAATGTTCAAGTGTTGATTTCATTTGTTTGAAGAGTTAAAAGTAGTCGTGCACAACAAAATGTCTCAGTGAGCTGTGTCACACTCAAAGTCAGAGCTTTCTGTGTCAGAAAGAGGCTAAATCACCATGGTAACTGATGGTGAAAGATCACCTGGTCAGGAGCATTTCATGTTCAGAGTTTTGTTTTTAAATCAGCTGTTAGAGCCACGTTTTCACTGTGATGTTGATTCTCTGCTGGAGGAAATGTTTCATATGTGCAGCTTGTTAAACTGTAACTTATTGAAGCCACTGAGTGAAGCTAAACTGCACATCACACTGTTACAATGTACCTGTATTCATGTAGTGGAGACATTAGTGAAGTTATCAATGAGTAACGTCTCTGATTGGACTGGGTGGCGCTCACAGGGACCATTTTGTGTAGAAGAAAAGTCACATGGTACATGAAACGCTCCTTTTCATCTGAGCGTGCTCAGAGCCTGAAGCAGAGAAAGGTGATAATCACCACGGTGATACCTGCTGTCTCTGACTGCAGTTTCAGGTTTAGTTGAGCCAGCTAACACAAAGAAAGCCTGACTGTGTTGAAGTTGATTTGTAGTCACAGCCCTCTGGATGTTCCAGTTACTACAGAGCTGAAATGTAAAGACTGTTTTTAAAGATGAAACTCGTCATTGGAGGTGATTTTTTTCTTTATAGTGTGTCAGATAAAGTCTGACAGCTTTTCTTCAATTCATTTCATTTGATGTGTTTTCACAGATGAAACCAGTCAACAGTAAATCAGATGTTAACTCCACATAACCTTCATCTGTAAGCAGTAACCGCTTCCTGTTGTGTGTGTGTACTTGTGAAGCAGCACTGGATCAATGCATATAACTGATGTGCACATGTCCAACAGAAGAAGGTCGTCATCGTCTGTCCTGCTCCTTATTCTGTCATTATTGCTCCCAGAAATGTGTTATTATTTCAAACATGTGAAGCTGAACTCTGACACATAACATCAAACAGCTCAGCAACCAGTCACACATTCAAATGTAACGCAGCTCTTTGAGTGTTTGAACCTGCTGTTGTGTTGATTTTACTTCATTTTGTATTTTCTTTGTTTAATATTTTAATGTGTTTGATCTGAAACATTTAAGTGTGACAAACATACAAAAACCAGGAAGTAAACAAACTCTGTTTCCAAGGGCGTAGATTTGGTTTTGGCATTGGTGGGGACGGATGATTCAACCATCGAACCCTGCCCTGTTTCTTATTTTTTTTTGTCTTTGCTTCTTGATAAAAGGAGAAATATACTTGCCTACATATGCTATTCTACATGCTTTTAAACCATTTAAAATCACAATTCATAGTTTTATATGTGAATTATATAATGTTAAATTACTATTAAACAAATGACTGACTAAGTATTTTAGGCTTTAGTTTACTTCAGCCATATTCCATATAAATCAGGTATCATACAAAAATAAAAATAGCTTCAAATACAGTCATGACAATAAAAGAATATGACTTTAAGGACTTAACAACATTACTTCAGTTATACTACACCAACATCTCTGACACATTAGCACTAAGGGAACACTCCTCGTCTAAGATTACCACAAAGTAAAAGATCTCTCAGCAACATTATGCAACATTTTAGGCACTATTGCCCCGATCAAATCAGTGAGCTGAGATTTTCTATTCTAAACATGAACTACTGTTACAGCAACAGACATGGACTACTGGTGTCCCACACAACAACTCAATGTCCACTATGTGAAGCAGCCACACACATGCCTGCTCCTCTCGTTAACTGAGATAAACTGCTGGCATATTGGTTTTACATCTATACTGTCCAGTCTCTCCTGGTGGACACACAGCAGCATTGTTTAATCTCATTTGAGTCATTGTTGACCTTAGTCATGTTTTTAGTCTTCTGAGGGCACTGAAGCTTCTTTCAGCCTCAGTACGTGCGTTTTATCCTCAGATTACAATTATTATTATTCTGTGCTTGATGTGCCTCACCTTTGGCCCTGGCTCCTCCCCTCTGACTGCACTAGGACATATTGCTACCTGATAAAATAACACATTGATTTGTGCCATATAAAAGTGAGACGTGTCAATTTAGATTCAATTTACATCAGCAGCCTAACAATTGTCATGATAATAAATACTAGTTAATCTATAGCACCAAATCATCAGTCAGTCACCTGTGACCTCGCCTCTTCACCTCTGTCTGAGCTACAACATGGCAGAGCTGCCTCTGTCACCTGATAAATAACAGTGAGACATTCCAATACATGCAGTCACACATGTGCTTCAAATACAGTCATGAACCAACAAGTCATCATCCAATTTCACCTGTGATCTTGTGTCACCATTACTCTCTGAGCTTTGTGTTGGTTGGAATATTTGCAAAATCATGACTACCTCATGATATTTTGTCTCAAAAATTAACCCTATGAATATGTCAGTACCATTAGGATGAAATTATTGTGTCACCAACATTTTAACGTTAGACATATAATTCTAACAGCCTCTGTAAACTAATATCCTGGCTGCTCGAGGCTGCCGTTTTCTCTGACAGTTTCAATCAAAATTAGAAATGCTGCTCTGAGACTGAGAGAACTAATAGTGCTGCCTGTTGTGCAGTTAGTTTCCAAAACACGTTATTCATGGTTACATACAGTTTTAGACTGATGTGGGCCAAAGCCTAGCATAGCCTGTAACGTTATTATGACACATTTATGAGTGAACTTGGCTTTAAGTGACTTACAGGTTTCTTTGAAAAATACTTTCTTATATCCAGGTTCTTTTTGCTGCCGTCCTCCTCCAGCGCAGGCTTGCCGCTGCTAAAACTAAACAGAGCTCCCTGAAAGGCACAGCCAATCACATTGGCCATATTTGTCACATGACGTAGGACTCCAGTAGAGAACGTAATTTAACTCTTTCTGCACCGCTGGGTGAATGAGACGTTGACAGATCGTTTTTTTCGGGTTTGTTTTTGTTTACTCGCAGAGATCAAATTATTGGTGGGGACATGTCCCTTCCGTCCATGCCAAATCTACGCCTTTGGTTTGTTCAGTTCACCCAAAGATGAACTTGTTCCATTATTTCTTTGAATGTTTGAATTGTTTACTTTCTTAAAAAATGCTTGTGCTGAACAAACCTTAAGTAGTTTCCTTTGGACCTTTGTTAAAGCAGTTTGTAAGAAGTGTAAGAAGTAAGTCAGTAGGTTCCTTTGACCTACAGAGAAAGCAGATGGATTAACCAACTCACACTTTTTATCTTTACATGGATTTTTGTTCCATCCTGATGATCAGAAGAGTGTTTTGGGATTTAACAGATCTCTTAAGAACAACGGTAAGTGTTTGCTGTCTTTTTCTAAAACCACTTTCAGTCTTTTATATAAAAAGTTTCAGTTGTCATGGTTACAGTTCACTTTACCCTGTCATGCACGAATTTTGGCAACGTGAATTAGATTTTTTTCCTTAAGTATTTTTTTATTCATCTTTATCTTTATTTATATTAAAGATGAAATAAAAATACTTAAAAAAAAATCCTGATTGAGGTTGTCATAATTCATGCATGACAGGGTTAAATAACAATAATTACAATAAACACGCCATACATCTATGGTAACATTAAACCACCAGTGGTATGGAGTGACACAGCAGTGTCCAATGTAGTGGTTTATGTACAAGTATACCATCAACACTGACACAAATGCAAGAAAACAGCCTTTGAATAGCTGTCCACAGCTGTCCACAGCTGTCCACACTCTGCGTGAAAGAGTCAGCATCCACCCACAAAAACGTTTAAACAGAAAAACTGTTTCAAAAACGAGTGAGACTTCATTTAAAATGTAATTTCCTTTCTAGTGGATGTTAACCCTGTAAAGTCAGAAGTATGATATCATTGCTAGAAAATCCAACACATATAACGTCACCCTGACGCAACTTCGATACGAGACGTTAAATCGAAAGTGTTTTGAGTTTGAACGGACAGCTGAACGACAGATCCGTCCTAACCCTCAGTGACTTTTGATCTTTATTTAAACCTTAAATTTAATCTGATGTGTTCAGGTTTAAACTCAGGTTCAGTTATTGAGTGAAAACACCAACAGACTCAGACATTTAGAACAAACTAAGAGTCAGATCGAGCAGAAACAGAGAACACGGACATGTCTGCTGTAACTGCGTCACTCTGCTCCACGCTGATGTTTGTCCTGTTCGTCTCTGCAGGTGAGATTTAACTGATAGAAACTAAACTGAGTTTATTTCTGAGATAAAGAGTCTCAGTCTGGTTTACATGCTGATTATATTTCTCTAAGAAGTAGTTTATTACTCATTCAGTGTTGCGATCGACACAAAGCTGGGTGGAGTCTGTGTGTTGGTGCAGTTTGCAGCACAGACACAAAGAAGTGTAATGTGTGTGTCAGTGTGATGTGTTGTAGTGTCAGGAGTCAGGATGCAGCTACAAAGCTTCTTGTTCAGTGTATACAAACAGCTGTAGCTCCATAAAGGCAGCATGCAGAGACTCACAGTGTCTTATAATGAGAGGCTGCTTTCTCTCACACATGTTGTTCACTTATTATCAGCACATGTTGTTGTTTGTGGAACAGAGTTATTGCAGTTTTTTCTCATTAGTTTGAGTTTTTATTCCATTTGGACTTTTTGTGTTTAGTTCAGTTTAGTTTCCAGATGATTTTCTTCTTTTTCAGGTTTGATTATTTATTGCTTGAAGAGTTTTAATAGTTTTATTCTTTTTTCATTCTTACTGTTTGGAGGTTTGTGTCAGAGGCCAGATTCAGGAGCATCAGTACAGCTGTTACAATAAAAAGCAGTGACTCAGTCTGACAGACATCCAGAGTCTCAATGAACTCGTCCATCAACAACATTTTATCAAACTAACAGATTCTAAAACCAAAGATTTGTTTTTCAGATGATGTTTTTCATCCGTCTCAGTCTTTGCTCATGAACTTTGTCTCCAAACGTCTCATCCTGAGCTTCCCTCTGATGAACTCGTTCATAATCTCGTCCATTCTGCTCTCAATGAAAATCTGAACATGTTCAGCTCGGCCTCCTGTCTTTGTGTCAGAGTCTCCAAAGCAAACATGACAGCAGCTCACTGCCATCTTCAAACCTTCCCTTTCACTCTTGCTGCTGTCCTTCTGTCACAAATCAGCCCTGATGAAGATGCTCGGGATCAGGTGAGGAGGAGGAGAAGACTCGCTGTGGTGACGCCTGAAGGGACACAAGAAGAAACACAATCAAAGATCATCATCTAATAACAGAAGACAATCTTTTATTGTGTGTTTCTGATTGGCTGCTGTAGAAGTGAACAGTTGTACTTTGACCTTTAACCTCTCTGCTCTGTGTTGTTTCCTCTTTCAGACCAGAAAAACATCACAGCTGAGTCTGGACAGGACGTCACTCTGACATGTCGAGCTGCAAACAACAACATCATTATTTTAGAGTGGAGCAGAGCTGACCTGAGAGATGAATATGTGCTTTTGTACCGGGATGGGCGATGTGAACCAGACGACCAGCATCCATCTTTTAAGAACCGGGTGGATCTGCAGGACAGACAGATGAAGGATGGAGACGTGTCTTTGATTCTGAAGGATGTGACGATTAATGATGCTGGAACATACGAGTGTCGTGTCGTCCAGCGAGTGGGAGGACCTATGACTCTGATCAACAGCACCAACCTGAAGTTGTTCCTCCAGGTGAGTGAGTAGAGTTGAGTGTGTGTGTGATCAGAGGTGAAGCTGCTTCCTGGTTGTTGATGTTTGTTTCTAAAGATGTTGTTGATGAGACTTTGTAGAAAGCAGCTGGTCTGAGTGATGTGATCAGAGTGCAGTAGATAATGTCTGACAGCAGTTTGAAGAGGAAATGGATTCTGTTCTGTTCTTCACTCATCACCTACCTGACAGCTGACACCTCACACCTGTTTCTCACCTGCAGGTCAGACAGGAGGACAGAGGATGGAGGGAAGGAGGATGGATCTGTTGGACTGAAAGTTGGTCTGTCAGTTTCTCGTACTTCTTCTTCTTTGCTGTTGGTTTCCTGATCTACAGAGGATGTAAACTGAATCCTGCTAAACCTCATGAAGCAGAGGATCTTCAGCCTGAATGTGAGTCAGATGAACAAACACAAAGAAAGATAAATAAATGATGGTGAACATCCAGCAGACGCTGTAGAAAGCTGGATGTTCAGAGTCTGATGTTATTTCTCTGATGATCATCATGTTCAGACTCAGACCAACAGTGTGTGTCTGTGCTGTCTGTCAGTGACTCTGAACTACAGTTTATTCATCTTCAGGCTGTTCATGAGATTTACTGACACAAAGTCAAACTGTGTTACAAACACACATGAATTTCTGATCTCAGAGTCAGTGAGTGTTTTTGTGTTGGAGCTTCAGGTTCAGCTGTTTGTAAGAACTTGTTCTGTGAGAGATGAACAACACAGACCTGAGATCAGCTGCTACACACACTGAATGAAGTGACAACACAAACGCTGTGTGATGATCTGAGTGTAGATGAAGGTCTGTGGATTATAGACGATCAATAATCTGCCTGCTTGTGTTCAGGATCATCGATCAGTTACAAATGAACGAGCTTTGACTCAGTTTGGATGTAGAAATGTTGTCCAAGTCAAACTGAGCTCTTTCATGTTTCTATGAACTTTGTGTGTGTTGAATGCAGCAGACTGGAAGAAAAACAAAATTTCATATGTTATAGGCAGGGATAACTTAGCAGGTGGTGGTCGCCCATGACATCGGAAGGTCGGGGGTTCGAATCCACTGAACAGCTACTCTGAGGTACCCCTGAGCAAGGTACTCCCTACACACTGCTCCCAGGGCCTGATTGTGGCTGCCCACTGCTTCACTAGTGAATGGGTTAAATGCAGAAGAGTAATTTCTGCATTTAACCTATAGTTCAGGTTTTAGACTTAAAAACTGGAAATAAACAAAATATTTAAAGTCAATCATTCTGATCATAATTGTACTTTGACCTTTAACCTCTCTGCTCTGTGTTGTTTCCTCTTTCAGACCAGAAAAACATCACAGCTGAGTCTGGACAGGACGTCACTCTGACATGTCGAGCTCAAACAACAAATCATCAGTGTATAGAGTGGAGCAGAGCTGACCTGAGAGATGAATATGTGCTTTTGTACCGGGACGGTCACTTTGTTCCAGACAACCTGCATCCATCTTTTAAGAACCGGGTGGATCTGCAGGACAGACAGATGAAGGATGGAGACGTGTCTTTGATTCTGAAGGATGTGACGATTAATGATGCTGGAACATACGAGTGTCGTGTCTGCAAGGAAGAAACAGAATCACTGAAGTTCATCTTCAGAAGAATAAGAAACTGCAGGAAGAAAGCTAATCTGAAGACTGACCCCATCAGCATCATCACCTGAAAGTTGTTCCTCCAGGTGAGTGAGTAGAGTTGAGTGTGTGTGTGATCAGAGGTGAAGCTGCTTCCTGGTTGTTGATGTTTGTTTCTAAAGATGTTGTTGATGAGACTTTGTAGAAAGCAGCTGGTCTGAGTGATGTGATCAGAGTGCAGTAGATAATGTCTGACAGCAGTTTGAAGAGGAAATGGATTCTGTTCTGTTCTTCACTCATCCCACCTGACGCTGACACCTCACACATTAGTGCATGTACACAATTCACTTAAAATACAGCAGTTTTGTATTTTCTAATTCATTTTTATTTCCAATGCAGGTAAGCCAGGAGGACACACAGAGGATTGATCAGTCATTTCTCTGTTTTGCTTCTTGTTGTTGCTTACCCCCTCAACATCAAAATAAAGCACAGTGCAAATAAAGCACGGTGGTTAGCACTGTTGTCGCACAGCAAGAAGGTCCTGAGTTCAATTCCACCATCAGGGTCTTTCTGTGTGGAGTTTGCATGTTCTCCCCGTGTTTGCGTGGGTTCAATCTAAATTGCCCATAAGTGTGAGTGTGAATGGTTGTCTGTCTGTGTGTTAGCCCTGCGACAGACTGGCAAGTGTTTTTAATTCTTCAAAAGTTGACAGTGTGTCTTTTGTATGAATTCTGCTTGTGCTGTCTGTCAGTGACTCTGAACTACAGTTTATTCATCTTCAGGCTGTTCATGAGATTTACTGACACAAAGTCAAACTGTGTTACAAACACACATGAATTTCTGATCTCAGAGTCAGTGAGTGTTTTTGTGTTGGAGCTTCAGGTTCAGCTGTTTGTAAGAACTTGTTCTGTGAGAGATGAACAACACAGACCTGAGATCAGCTGCTACACACACTGAATGAAGTGACAACACAAACGCTGTGTGATGATCTGAGTGTAGATGAAGGTCTGTGGATTATAGACGATCAATAATCTGCCTGCTTGTGTTCAGGATCATCGATCAGTTACAAATGAACGAGCTTTGACTCAGTTTGGATGCAGAAATGTTGTCCAAGTCAAACTGAGCTCTTTCATGTTTCTATGAACTTTGTGTGTGTTGAATGCAGCAGACTGGAAGAAAAACAAAGTGTGTATAACAAACCTCTCTTTAACTGATGCTGCTTATTTTTACACTCAGTAGGTTTCATCATCTTTTCATTAAATACAGCTGAGAGTGTTTTACAGCTCACAGTGTTATGATTGTTATCAAACTGCAGATTTATGGAGCTGCACACTCAGATATTTCTGTCTGATCCTGATACTCTGATGTGTTATTGAACTTTTGTTACAGAACAACATAAATAATGTTCAGCTTCATATTTACATGTGTTCAGCATACGTTACCATGGTGATTTAACCAGGTTGGTGAGAGAGACGACTCTGACTGTTTGCCCGACACAGCTCACTAACACATTACTCTGGCTTAGTTTCTGACACTTTGCATGTTTAGCATGAGGCTAAAATTCCCCCTCAGTGGGTCACTGGTGACCTGCTGGATGTTCAGAGGTTCATTAAATCCAACATGACTAAAAACTCAAATGTCAAAGGAAATAAACAAAATATTTAAAGTCAATCATTCTGATCATATTGTACTTTGACCTTTAACCTCTCTGCTCTGTGTTGTTTCCTCTTTCAGACCCAGATAACATCACAGCTGAGTCTGGACAGGACGTCACTCTGACATGTCGAGCTCCACACAACAACATCATAGGTGTAAAATGGAGCAGAGCTGACCTGAGAGAAGAATATGTGCTTTTGTACCGTGACGGTCACTTTGTTCAGATGACCAGCATCCATCTTTTAAGAACCGGGTGGATCTGCAGGACAGACAGATGAAGGATGGAGACGTGTCTTTGATTCTGAAGGATGTGACGATTAATGATGCTGGAACATATACGAGTGTCGTGTCTTCATGGAAAAACACGCTCGTGGAAGATCATCAAAATCAGTCTGAGTGTTGTTGTTCCTCCAGGTGAGTGAGTAGAGTTGAGTGTGTGTGTGATCAGAGGTGAAGCTGCTTCCTGGTTGTTGATGTTTGTTTGTTGTATGGATGAGCTGGTGGATGTCAGAGGTAGACAGATGTTTCTCCAGCTGTTGTCTTTGTGGCTGGTAGTCTAGAGTTGTAGAGCAGCATTGTTTGGTTAGAGCAGAAACAAAGACATTTATGAATCTTCTTTCTTCTCTCATCAAGGTATAAACTCCAAAGATTGATTCTGTTCATCTGTACCATTTGAGTGGAGTAAAGGAGGTCATTTACTGAAAAGGGAAAGACCATCTCTGAATCGAGGAGGGGGCCTAAGGGTACATCTTTCCATCTTACAATGCTGTGATTGCAGCCATTCCCCAACTCTCTGTGAATGGTACTCATGGCCATTGATCAGTGGTTGTTGATCAATGGTCATGAGAATTTGCATAATTAAGATTAAGGAACTGACCTCCCAGCCCATTGTTCCTTCAGTGGGCTGGTTTCAGTCATTATGCAAATGTACTGTTTATAAGATTGGGGAAACCTGCAGTCAGCTGAGACTGAAGAAGTCACTTGGATGTGACGAAACGTTTCTCCCACAAAACGCTATCCAGATGAACAGAATCAACCTTTGGAGACATTTATGAATCCGTCTCTTCTTCTCTTGCTCTCTAACTCGTCTGTAAACATGTGTGGGGAAACTCAATGTTAAAGCCTACAGCTGGAGGGGGAGGGGAGGGGTGAAGCTGGTGGTTGTGAGTCTGTGAAAGTGAATCCTGCCGCTGCCATAGCTGCTGAAAACGTACTTAGTGCAGACACAAAACGTCCATCAGCTTCAAAGTGTGTCAGAAAAATGTCCACATGGTGACTGATGGATGAGAGAGGTCCCATTGTTGTTGTTGTGCACAAATCATTGAACAACACAAACACTTAGAGCTGCTTTCAGTGCTGCCTGTTTTGTTACTGCACACATTTCTGATGGTCCTACAGTCCAACGTAGCAAACGTCTCCCTGAAGCCTCTTCTTAGAGACCAAAGGTTGGATCAGAGCGAGCAGCTGAAAGGACACATCTATGAATGCAGTCAGAGACTTTCTCACAACCTCACACTTCAACCTCACAGAGGATGGATCTGTTGCACTGATTGTTGGTCTGTCAGTTTCTGCTCTGCTTCTTGTTGTTGTTGCTGTTGTTGGTTTTTTGATCTACAGAAAACATAAACAACAACAGAGAGAGGAAACAAACCAGCCTCCTGTTTAAGTGCAGCAGGTTTAAAATGTCTCAGAGGTTTTTCCAGCTTTGAGTCTGCTGCTGCTGTTCAGAGTTCTGGTTGTTGTCAGTGTTTAAACTCCTGCAGAAACAGATGAACTGAGCACAGACAGCAGGCCCACAGCACTGTAGGTTTATTTCAGTTTTATCTTTAATGGCTGCTTCTGTTTTTGCTGACAGCTCATCTCAGTG